ATTTTAAAAGTATAATCATGTTTCTACAGATGCTACTGTTGTCCTGCATCTCACCTAGCATCTTCCTGCCGATGTCCTGAAATATTCTACGTTTCTTCCTCTCCTCGTCCACTTGTTTGCGGCGATCCTCTGTCTGCTGCTCCCTCCGTTTGATGGCCTCAGCTTCCCGCTCTGCTTTAGACAAGAACTTGGGCTGGAGCAGGAACAAATGTTTAGAAAAAACAACAACAGTGGAATGCATTTGCATAAATATATAAAAAAAAATCTTCACCTTAGATTCTGCCTCTTCTTCTGCTTTCTTCTTAGCAAGCAGCTCTTCAAGAGAGAGAGGCTGCACCTGAATCAGTGCAGAAACAGTGTCAAAAAAGTACATAGTATGCAACATTCAAACTTGAAATTACCTAATAGAGCACCTTCTCTTTCTTCTCATCTTTCTCCTCTTCCTCTTTCTTCACATCCTTCTCCCTCTTTAATTTCAAATCCTTGGATTTAGGGGAAGTGCTCCTGGGAGGAAAAAGCAAACACTTTACAACTGAGTATTAAATTCACAATGAAATCAACATTGATAATTCTTTTTTTTTTTTTTTAAAGGAGACATATTATGCCCCTTTTTACAATATGCAATATTAGACTCTGGTGTCCCCAGAATGTGTCTGTGAAAAACGCTGTTTTTCGGGTCTGTCTCTTTAAATGCAAATGAGCTTCTGCTCCCCGCCCCCTTTTCCAGAATAGAGCTGCGCCATTACAGCTCGTACCTGCTAAAACATGTTTATTTTAGATCTGTGTGGCAGCAGCAATATACAGTAAATAAATCAATAAATCCACTGCTCTGTTGTCTCCTCGGAGGCTGGGACTCTAAACAGTGTTCTGTGTTCGTCTGTGCAGCCAAAGACAGAACAGTTAGCATGTTTTGCTCAAACTTTCACCATGGCATTAGAGCTGGTACACCCTTGTCACTTGCGAAATCAAAATGACGGCGCCGTGGGTGGAAACATGCAGATTAAGGGGCGGTAATATTATAATGAGATCCCTTTGCCACGTCACCAAGGGAGCAAAATCAGACGCGCTCGTTTTTTCAGATGCTTGCAGAAAAAGGCTTACTAAAATAAAGTTACTGGGTTAATCTTTTTCACGTTTCCTTGGTTGGTACATGCACCGGGAACCTGATTATAGCACTTGAAACATGGAAAAGTCAGATTTTCATGATATGTCACCTTTAATGGAATATTGCAGTGTTTATTACAAATTTATCTGCACATCATAAATTTTTCTTAAATTCATGTGCCCCTTTTTTTCTAATTTGAGAAGCCGTTTCATTCGGATATGTGTCACAATAGGGAAGAGAAATTATTAAAATATCCCATTATAAATACACAATGCCATCCATGCAATTCAATATAAACAAAATTCTCAACAATAAGGATTTTTTCCACCTGGTCCATTCGCTAAGTTCCGATTTTACTTACTGCTGCTATTTTCACCAGCTCCACCGCAATAAGTTTTACATTTTTCAGCATCATATTTTGTGTGTTAGAGGTTTTATTATATTATCAATTTCATAATATTATATTTCCTTAGGTGAAAAAAATTTGGAATTTGCAACAACTGCCAGTACATCACAAATCATGTTTAAAAAAAGAGCATTGATATGATCAATAAACGTAAGTCACAAAGCACTGGCACCAGGTCATCCTGTCATCCATATTGTTCAGCCCTAAAAATATTTTTGAGTCAAGTATGATTCAAACCTTGATTTCTTGGACCGGTCTTTGTCCCGTCTGTCCCTGTCTCTTTCTCTGTCTTTGCGGCCCCTGTCTCTGTCTCTTTCTTTTTGACGCCGATCTCTAAATACAGAGAAACGGAGTTCAAGCGTTAGAGTACAAATGCATTATCATTGATATGAGAAGAACAGTATACAACCCTACACACCGGTCAGGAGATTTGGATCTGCTGCGGGAGCGCTTGCGTTCACGGGATCGGTTCCGTTTGCGTTCTCTGCCCGGAGATCCTTTCCGATCACGGTCCCTGGAGCGAGAGCGACTGCGCTTACGAGCCTCCCGCTCCTTCCCTGCGGCGTCCAGGTCCTTCTTATCAGAGGAGTCGCCCGCCATCTGGAGAGAGGGAGAAGGCAGGTTTGTTGATGTTTAACGTTACACCAAAGGCTGTTTGTAAGCATACGATTAATTGGCTTGTATCATACGCACTTACATTTTAGAGATCCTTTTGTTTCCCAAAACTGTGCAACATTTATTTATCAGGATTTAACAGATTATTATATAGACTTCTTGAACAGGAAAAGCATTTTGTTTTGTTTAGGAAAAAGAACTAGTCACATTTTAGTCAAATTGCAAATATTAAAACACGGCTAAACAATATAACTAGAACATTAATTACATATGCAATAATATTAAGCCGCAGGATATTATAGCACATGTAATGTTATAGTTATATAGTTTGCGCTGGAGTTTTAATATCGTTTAACTCCACACTGACAGCACAGCGATGGCCTTCTCTCTCCAATAAACTAGACCTTTAGAAACCAGAAAATGACTATAACGAGTAAAACCAAGTTATAGGAACATACTCAACTGGACTGTGATTAAAACTGTAGAAATGTCATGCATTTACTTGCCTTTAAATATCAAAATCAAGTCGGTTGCGAAGCCTGTGCGTTTCACTGAGCCGCCATTATGTTTTGCGTCAACAAATGACGGACTTCCTGTGAGGGATTCTGGGAGATGTGGTCAAACCTGTCATCCATATTGTTCAGCCCTAAAAATATTTTTGAGTCAAGTATGATTCAAACCTTGATTTCTTGGACCGGTCTTTGTCCCGTCTGTCCCTGTCTCTTTCTCTGTCTTTGCGGCCCCTGTCTCTGTCTCTTTCTTTTTGACGCCGATCTCTAAATACAGAGAAACGGAGTTCAAGCGTTAGAGTACAAATGCATTATCATTGATATGAGAAGAACAGTATACAACCCTACACACCGGTCAGGAGATTTGGATCTGCTGCGGGAGCGCTTGCGTTCACGGGATCGGTTCCGTTTGCGTTCTCTGCCCGGAGATCCTTTCCGATCACGGTCCCTGGAGCGAGAGCGACTGCGCTTACGAGCCTCCCGCTCCTTCCCTGCGGCGTCCAGGTCCTTCTTATCAGAGGAGTCGCCCGCCATCTGGAGAGAGGGAGAAGGCAGGTTTGTTGATGTTTAACGTTACACCAAAGGCTGTTTGTAAGCATACGATTAATTGGCTTGTATCATACGCACTTACATTTTAGAGATCCTTTTGTTTCCCAAAACTGTGCAACATTTATTTATCAGGATTTAACAGATTATTATATAGACTTCTTGAACAGGAAAAGCATTTTGTTTTGTTTAGGAAAAAGAACTAGTCACATTTTAGTCAAATTGCAAATATTAAAACACGGCTAAACAATATAACTAGAACATTAATTACATATGCAATAATATTAAGCCGCAGGATATTATAGCACATGTAATGTTATAGTTATATAGTTTGCGCTGGAGTTTTAATATCGTTTAACTCCACACTGACAGCACAGCGATGGCCTTCTCTCTCCAATAAACTAGACCTTTAGAAACCAGAAAATGACTATAACGAGTAAAACCAAGTTATAGGAACATACTCAACTGGACTGTGATTAAAACTGTAGAAATGTCATGCATTTACTTGCCTTTAAATATCAAAATCAAGTCGGTTGCGAAGCCTGTGCGTTTCACTGAGCCGCCATTATGTTTTGCGTCAACAAATGACGGACTTCCTGTGGGGAGATGTGGGAGATGTGGTCAAAAAAGCATTAAAGGGGTCATATGATGTTGCTAAAAAGAACATTATGTGGTGTAATGAGTGTAATGAAATGTGTTTATTCGGTTTAAGGTTAAAAAACACATTATTTTCCACATACTGTACATTATTGTTTCTCCTCTATGCCTCGCCTTTCTGAAACGTGTCGATTTTTACA